CGTGCATTTTACAGATTTGAACTGTATTGCAACCTCTATTATGATTTTAAAACCCCTGTCATGTCCCTAGAGGAGCAGAGGGTGTTTTTCTTCTCTAATTTCTCTCACTGGGAAAATGAACAGCTCGCTTGTGTTCATGCCTATTTAATACGGCTGCTAACCCCAGGTCTGTTCGAATACCTAGGTGCACGATGCCACGTCAAATACTTATTTTTTGCAGATTTTGATGAGATGGTAGAGCATGATCTGAGGTGGGGTCAAATGTACGACGATTTCGCCGTCTTTGCAGACCGGTTCAAGATCGCCTACATGGAGCCCATCCTCGCACGCGGTCTTGCCAGTATATGCTCCCTTCAAGCTTGCACCAGCTATGATTCAAAAGCCAGTATAATGTGCCCTGATGAGCCCAGAGCTTCCAACATCTTTCTATACCATGCTTTGGAAGCTGCAAATGGCTCAGATGACAGGCTTGATCTAGAGGACTACACCCCGGAAGACGAGATCAACAACATTGCACCTCCATACTTCAAAGATACTGATTCAGGCTCTGAAGATGTGTGGCGTTTGACGCATGAAATCTCAACTCGAGCGCACTTTGTCAATGGCGAAGAGTGGTCCTTACACCGCGAATGGTGTTATGTCATGTGGGATCGGAGTACCCTAGAGGAGATGGGCATTTTTGAAGACGATTGGGACGAGTCAGGAAGGGCTCCAAGTAGAGAAGGGGCATCGAGGGAACTACGGCAGGCGTCTCGTAAGCGCCGAGAAGAGATCTACCGTGCCGGGGGAAGAGGTTGGTGGTCTTTTGAGGATGAGAGCAGAATTGTTTGGCCAGATGGCAGGGAACCACAGAAGATTGCCCATGAGTCCTGTGCATGACGTTTGTTGAGAAACTTGATGTGGCAGAAAGGACGTCCATCGCGAAGTTAGAGAGATTTTCTGTCATTAATTGAGCATTCAAGGGAAGTAACGAGACGTTGGATGTAGAGAGGAGAGCCGAGGGACTGTAAAATGCAGTCTCTGGCGATTTTGTCAACAGCGCCTTGCAGAAAGCCTTGCTCTCGCTTTCAAGGCAGACAAGAGACGCTGCACGGTAACGGTCCTATCACGAGACTGAGCATCAAAGTCATAGTCAGCAGCGAAAATTTTACCCATTCTTATATAGACTCCGGCCAAGGCAAGGACAGATTTTGCACTATTCTCGCGACCGACATCGATAATCTGGCCTGCCAGACTCCTGCAGCATTGTGTCGAACTTTCGAATTTTGTTGCTTACCCTTGGTTTAAGTTTGCTTAACCATTGCTTAGGCTAAGTGAAAAATGGCACGAGAAAAGTTTAATGCGAGATTGCCTGTTTCTTGTCCCTTTGGATGTACCTAGCCACGTTTGGCCAGGTAATAAATGTACGCACGTGATGTATTAGAGAAGTTCCAGACAACAGTGGATTCATAATATTAACGAGTACTAACTCTAATATTAATAAGTAAAAAGCTTACGTACTTAGATGATAAGGATAAGTGTAAGCGCTAACAAAGTCGAAGCTTATAAACTCCTATTCAGTCCCCTTCGCATATTGCTCTAATGGTTTTTAATCAAGCCAAAAAGAGGTTAAGGTGAAGGTCGATCAAAGGTGGAACGCTTAAAAGAATCAAAGGTAGACAGTTATAGCAAGCGACTTCGGATCTTGATGCATAAGCGTCAGCGAAGTAGCATTAAGATCTTAGTTGTAGTTTGCAACATGGGTTAAGGTTATATAAATCTGCAGGCAAACTTAAAGTGGAAGCCGAAGTCTCTGAACCATGCGCATTCAATCTCTCGCACCCCGACCCGGAAAGGAGTTAAGGTGAAGTTTAATAAAGGTCTAAGTTTCTAGAGCTGACAGGAGACATCCCAACCGGAAAAGAGGTCAAGGTAAAACTTGAGCTAAGGTCAGAGTCTCCAGGGTCCAGAGCCCGAGCCCACGAGAAGAGCCAATTCGCTTTCAGAATGCAATAAGTGACTGCGCAGAAGCAAGTACCATCCATTTCAACAACAACACGACAATGGGTAATAGCCACTATTGCCGTGTCAGATGCTCTCAAAACCGTCCCATAAAGAGATGGAGGAAAGGAAAAAAAAATAAAACAAATGCTATGGCTTGGCGGGCCAAATAAACCATCCCCAGTCGAGAATAGTGTCACGTTATGGATTGAGGCACTAGAGGTGAGGTTATCCCCAACTTCCTCAACCTCCTCCTCCTTGCAATTGTTCAAGTAACGTTTTATAGCTAAAGGGACTTGCAACTTTCTATATTATATATAACGCTTTAGAAAGTTCCTTTATCATAACAGCCTCTACTCATCAAGCTACGAAGTTATTCTACGATTTGTCACGCTACTTGTTGTCAATGTCACGTTGAAAACTCGAGCTTTGTGCAAACGCGATTGCATTCCATTTTCGCCACCTTCCCTACCCACTAGATTATCTCTGTCCATCTTCCTTGCAAGTTGGAGTCGAGGCATTTGCCACCTTACTTTTCTGCTCCATGGTGATATTACAATTCCTCCAAATTAGGGCAGGCACCAAAAACCTTCGACCAGGCCATCTGCCCTTGTAGACGTTATAAGCACTGGGTCGCTCAGGGTATTTACGTAGCTGCAGCTTGGTGAAGAAGGCGATGGCTTCGTCGTAAACAGCCTCTTTTTCCGGCCCAAGGACACTTCCATGCTGTCTGAAGTAGACAACCATTTCAGTTCCTATAGAGGCATGGGTCGGGAGAGGCGGTATTGGGGAAGCCAGGTTGATGTTTTGGTGTTCTTGAAGGCGGGTTTGGCTGGCATTTGGAGCAAGATGTTCTCGCTAAGATTCTGCTGTGAAAAGCCAATATACGCGACAGTTTATATGCGCGTTTTTGGGTTTGACGCCAGGGATACAAAGCCACGGCAAACGGTAGATGAAAGGAAATATTGAAGAACTTTGGCGATGATATCTTGTCTTCTTGATGCGCTGTAAAGCGTTGTTTGTTTTCAGATCTATCTAGCCAATCAGAGCTGTCAAAACTGGCGGCGTATCTCGCTACCCCTTTTCTCTGTCAAAACATCACTTAAACCTCCCGATCATCAGTCATTTTATGTCTAGAGATATTGATGTAACAGACGATAAATAGTAGTGAGAGATGTCGTACCCAGATTATTCACTCTCGGAATCAGATGTGAAGTTCTGCTCCTGGTATTCTGCATACGTGTTAAAGAAAGGGGGCGGGGTGTGCCCCAAAACGTACGTTGGATTGCGATTCAAACGTTATTTGAGCAAACAAGTTGTGACAATATAAAGGCTTGTTATGACATTCGTCCAATAATCCTTCGCTAAAAGAAAAGTCATTCAATGGGAAGGTGCGAGCTACCTCTAAAGAATCTCAGCTGGATCGCTCCTGCTCGCTTCTCTCACCAACCACTTTACCAAATAACACCCTACCTGAACTTCCAACCTGCGCTGATCCCTACACTAGAATCAATCTATCATCATACCTACCACGAAGAACATCCATTTCCCCAAACCTCCATTCCACCAACAAGATGCCCCCAAAGCGCAAGCTCGACCGTTTCATCTCCATCGACACCCTCCGCCACCTCCAAGACCGCCGACTAGCAACAGAAGCATCGGGCGGCTGGATCACCGTTAAAAGAACCGCCTACTCCTACTTTACCGGCTATTTCCCCGAGGAAAACCGCAGCATCGAAGTCCCAGAATTCATCCAGAGCGTCCAGACGCTCAAGTCCCTTGAGCTGAACCACGAGACTGCCCGAAATGTGTACCACGACTACATGGCATACATCAGAGACCCCCATCACGATCATGTTAGCATCCTAAAGTACGCCAAGTACCATGTGGAGACTGTCCAGGGAGATTGCCGCCACCGAAGCGATCTTTGGGGGGATGTCATGAATGATATTGGTCTCAATAAGGGGTGGCAGGAGCGGATGTGGGATTCGAATTGGGATGGGAGGCGTTGGCGGACCAGGAAGAGTAGTCTGAAGGATGAGGTTCTTGAAATGATGGATACTCGGTACAATTACCTTTTATCTCTCAATGGGAAAATTCGGGACAAGTATGAGGACGAGGTTCGAGAGCGAGCGGATTAGAAGTCTTATTGAACCTTGATGGGATTATTCTGCAAACCGGGGTATCAATGGATGGTTCTCAGCACGTTGTGAGTAGATTAGCAGAGAGGAGAGATACCTAACTAACTTCTCTCTGTTAGGTTCTTCCGTCCACTACCCAACCCATCCCGAACTATCTTTTTGCTATTCCAGTACAACACTAGCAAAACTTGGTCCTACTTCGGCTTCGTCCGAGCTACAGTTTTGGTATTTTATGGGGAAGAGCTAGGAGGTGTGGAGTAGGGATGGGAGATCATGATACTGGAATTTCCGAATAGGGGCGTGGGAGATGGTTATCGAGAGCAGCCACTCACGTTCTAATCCAATTTACCACTTTGAAACCCCTTCATCGTAAGCTCTTCCCAGTCAGAAGATAATAGCATACCAAAACCTTAGGGAGCATATCACTTATCGTATTTGGTACTTGGATTTAGTCCAAGTGAACATGAAGGGCTAGGAGTTGAAAACGTCCTCATTGTTCATTCGTTCCTATTCTGATCCCAATCTTACCAGCCCAGCAAGCTATCCTCCCTTGCACAGCGCCGACTCGCCCTCGGAGATCTCAACTCAACCTCTTATATATAACCACGCCATTCCCTTCCCTCCTTCGCCTTTAACCCCGGCATATATCATGGGCATCGCTCATTTTCCATCCATGCCATGCCCTCCTAACGCCACCAATCCGCATTAAAAGATTCCAATTCCCCAACCAGAGTTATCCCAAAACGCCTCCATTCATTGCCTCTTGCCATTCCCATAAAACACTAAACATCGTTCCTTCATCTCATATCATATGTAAGAGAGTACCTGTACAATATACAGCCAAGCCATGCAATAATCTTACATCTTTCCACATAAATATCATAACTGTTCTTCCTCCGCACTGGTGCTTTTACTCCTCTTCCAGAAATTCAATTTGTCCATGCGGAATCGAGACGGCTTCTTCTTAAGATTTCGTACTTTCTCTAGCATTGCACCTTTCGGTGACTCTGGACTGACACTTGGCATCGCGGTCGATGTGCTGGCCTGTGGACTGCCCCCCGTTGGTGTCAGACCTTTATCGTCGTTTGATTCTCGGCTCATAATGCTGGTTCCTTGTGTGCTGGGCGATAACGGCATCTTGCTCGTTGTTGCGCTGGTAGCTTGGCTAGCCCAGTCACCAGCTGCGGAACTGGATGCTTCGGTGCCATCACTACTGCGTTGTGGTGGTTTGCTGGAGCTGGATTCCGATGGCACGACAACAGCGTCGGTGACGATAGAGGGCTTTACCTCGATCCCGTTGAGGTGATTGTCGCCGTTGGGAAGGTTGGTAAAATGGTCCAGGTTGGCAGGGGTACTAGCGGTTCCGTGGCTTAGTTGGAGCTGGCTTGGTCTTGAGCGCGTGAGTGAGAGTTCTGGCATGGAATGATGCGTTTCTTCATCCTCGGCCAAAACACCGTTACTTGGTGAGAATTTCGAATCTAGTAGTGCCGCAAACTTAAGATTCGAGTCGCTCTTCTGCTGCTGACTCTCATCAGAAGGAGTCACCACGCTCATCGAACGTGGGGAAAACATGCCATCGTTCATCGCTGAAGCATCGCTCTCCCGTCTCGCTCTAGCCTGTTCCTCGCTAATCTTCTCCAACCAAGCTGACTTATTCATATGTAGTTCATCAACCGAAAACCCCATTGCTGGCATGACGTCCGTGACTCCTTGGAATAAAGGTATGGCGAACATGTTCATAAAGCCTATTTGCGAATTCCCAAGTTCAATAATTTCTCGAACCGGAGCTGCAAAGAGGGCGGATTCTATTCCCAGGTCCTTTTCCATGGATGCTTGGCGGGCAAATTCGTTGGTCAAAATCATCGTCCATTGAGCGGCAACATCGTAATTTCGAGCCTGTAATAATTAGCCAGGATATCTGAATAGGAAGCAGCAAAACATACCACATTACTAATGTCTGCACACTTTATCAGTAAAGAGCAAGCAAGAGTTCTCTGTTCTTCGACCATTCTCCCATTCCAACCATCAGTATTCCCACTTTCATGCAACTTTTCCTGCAGAAACCCAAGTTTCTTCATATAATCAAAGTGAAGCTGCATGTCCGTAGCAAGTATCGAGTTGATCATCAATTGCCGCATATCCGGGTCCTGAAAAGCAACTGGCCAGTGACGCCGTAATATTTGCGAGTAGGCGGCACAGTGGAAGGCTTCGAGAACAGATCTGTCGTTGTACAACTGAGCTAGCGGAGCCTTGAGCTTGACCAAGAAGGCATTGTTGACGCCGGGATGGCCGACATCGTGGCCAATAGCAGTGATCAATAACGTGAGGGCATCAAAAGGTCTGATGAGAGCGGCAATAGGTGAAGGTTCGGGATGAGACGGGGTTGCCGAATTTGGGTACGGTGGCAATCTGCCTAGCCGGACTAAGAAGTGGAATATTGCTTGCAAGACATCGACGACATGGCGGAAATTGTGGTAGGGTACAAAGGCATTGTATGCCTGACGGCTTGCTACCAGAAATGCAGTTAGATTCTCTGCATCGGGTGTCAGCATACGTATCACAAAATCATCTGAAACATATCCATAGATCGGCTCTCCATACCTGTCGATATCCGCCACCTCTCAAGTTCTGGCATCGCGAGTGCATGTTGTAACATTAGTAAGGCTGCATGAAGGAGCTCATCATCTGTGAACTCGTGCGCCGAAAAGTGCCACGACCCAACAGCTGCAGCTATCTTGTCGCTGCGATCTAGTGCAACAGCTATCCGCGCTGGGCCGAATGGTTCGTCATCACCTCCGATCTTGCATATTCCATCCATTAAACCTGATACCATAGCTTCACGTAAGTATGCATATGGTTTTGAATCGTCCACACCCACCCATGATCGTTTGCGCCCTCTCTTCAGTTCCAATAAGGCTCTCTGCTCCTTGGAAGCATCCTTATGGGCTCGGTATGCATGCACAGCAAGGCTGGGAAGTCGCTCGTGTAACAAGGGACTCGTCAACACGTCTACTGCTCCGAGATCCATATACTTTATCGTCCTAAATTGATCCAAGGCCGCACCTAACCCAGGGAGTTTCTTCGCAAAAGGATCATAACTGAGATGCCCTCCCGAGTTCTGCCGTGGATTTGACGTGACCATTAAAGAGTTGGGATCGGGAATAGCAACCACAGCTACCGGAACAATCAATTTCGAGAGGCTTTGATACTGTATTTCGGAAGCTACCCATTGTAGCAGCTGAAGCCCGTATGCTTCCGAGTCCGAATCTTCTGTTAACCCATCGACTTGCTGTTTCGAACTTGGAGAAGGTGTTCGCATTTCCCTCGATCGCCTTCTGCTAAATTCGTCTTCATAAGGAATATCGATAAGGACAAGAGTAGGTATTAATTCGACAATCGAGGACTGATTTAGTTCGGAAAGCTTCGATATACAGCTCTTGCCAGTACGGCAGACGTAAACTTAATGATATTAGTTGATGCAGGTGAATTGAAGGAACCGTGACTGACCTTCGCTGAAAATCCGCAGCAAGGTCTGCAGATTTCTATCTAGGTGAGAGGGGCTCGATTGAGTTGATGAAATCCCATCCAGATGAAACTGGGCACTTTCTGTTGAAGTAGACCATATTACATCGTCTCTTTTCACAAACTTGTCCTCTTGGGCGGTCCGGTCAACATATACCACGTTGCACGCCGCATACTCCATAGCTGCTTCGCGCACGGCGGCGCAGGACAATTATCTCCCTCTCGCCGCCAGCAATATCGAGTAGACCAGTAGATTTCGGATATAGAAGGATGGAAGTCAGGAAATCCGGCAATCTATCTCCTGTGTCGCACGGATATGGCTCGAGCGCAACGCCTTTTCCGACGAGTCAGAATTCCTCGACAAAGACTAATTGTGTCTCTTCAACGTGGTGTTCACTCTTCTGGTAGATGGCAATATCCTAGCGTGGAACAGTCGCATTCGAGTTTGTCGCAATGGCAGCAGACTGAGATTCGACAGCTCGAGGAGATGTTGGAAATCCTTCCTAGATGGGACCCTAGATCCAATCCAGAATACTCGTGATTGTTCCTCGTGATGGTCCTACACCAAATTACTTGATATTGTACACGGGAACCGGAAAATGCTTTGTACGTATTCGTAGTGGAGCTGTGAGCAACACATCAATTGCGGTCTGTACGACTGGTGGCGGTGGTAACATGGAACCTCGAGTCGCAGTGGCAGATTCAGTTCGCGCGCAGATGCACAGGTAGTCGAAGTGGGATCGGATGCTGACGACAAGGGTTGGGTTGGGTTGGGTTGGTTTGGAACAGTCTGCGCTGCGCTACAGACTGCAGATGCAGGCAATAGTCATTCCGAGGTGAGGAAGGAAGGAAAAGGGGAGAGGGAGGGAGAGAAGGATTCGTTTGGGGGCGGTGATGGATAGTCGTGGAGATGGTTGATTGAAAGAGGGCGTTCAAGTGAGAAAGATGAAGAGTCACGGAAGAGTGAGAGTGAGAATAATTGTCGAGATCATTGACCAGTCTGGCTAGGAGGAGAGAGGGCAAGGGCCAGTGCAAGTAGTGAGAGTGTGCCAGACCGGACAGGGCAGGTGGAGGCGTGCAGCATTGGGGCTTGTCTTGTTCTTCGGGAAAGGGCAAAGGAAGCTAGAAGGTGGAGTACAGTGAGAGTGTATGGTAGACTTGGGCCAGTGAAAGTGTGTTGATTGACGCCAGTGAGGCACGCGAAGGCTTCCAAAATCCTTCTCGAAGGCCGCTAAGAATTTAGAGAAGCTTCGAATAGAGGCATCGGGGTCCACTTGCATGTAAGCTTCTGTGTCAACACTCCAAGTCTCATTATTAACGGCCAAATAATATATTAATTTTCCCTATAAAATGCTTTTCTATAGATACTTCTACATTCCCTCATTCGATAACATGACTGACATCTGCCCGTCGGGCGGAATACTTGACAGATTCCAACACTACCTCCGTCTCCGTCTGCCATCCATTCTTTATCGCAAGTTGGTATAAAGTAATGATCTGCTTCAACGTCCAAGATGCGAGATACGGCATGGGAACGCCTATATAGGAATAACGGTACCATTTCCCTTCATTTTCCCTCTTCTTCTGCTCCTTCCTCCTTGGCTTTTGGCTTTCGGTCTTGGGCTCGAGAACAATGGCCATCATCCGTGCTCTCGGGTGCACACTTGTCCTCGAGAGGAAAGCCAAGTGTAAGCAGTCAAGTCAAGTAGTGCCGTCTGACAGAGCTCGACCTTCCCCTCCCTTCCCTCCCTCCTGCAAGATCTCGTTTCAGCTTCTGCTTCTTTCTTTTCCCACGTTGCCAGATCTCTACCGGTACTTCGTACGGACGAATTAATGATTATTAACCTCATCCCTCCCTGGCCTGGTACTCCGTACGGCACCCCCGGCACTTACCTTACGGTACCCAGCCCAGCACAACACATCCCACATGATTTCTTATCCAGTTTTGCCACCAAGTTGTCGTGGCCTTTAACCTTTTCCCCCCTAGTCATTAACAGAAGAAGCTTATTTCTCATTGCAAGTGCTCTGCCCCTCATTTACGTAGCAGTAATCAACCTCTCCCAGATCGCTGCAGTTGATCCCAGCCCCCTCTCCGCAACGAGGCACACGTCCGTTATCGTTCTCCGACTTGGCGCCTCCGAGCTCTATCTGCAAATAAATGAAGACCCGACCCCTTCCCGACTTCCAGGAACCCCTCATTAGTACGGAGTCTATTGTAATAATTAAACTCATTCCGCCGCAAGGCAAGGCAATGCATGCATATGAATATACAAGCACGCGAGCGACTCTACTGGAAAAGGGAGGTCACACACGCCTGCCTCACACCTGGGGCAGGGGCCGCGCAGGGCACGCAAGGCAAGCGCACACGAATTGCTTCTGGCGGACGCTTGCATGCTTATCCGCGCCGGCATGTCCCTGGAAAACAGTTTATATTATTGTTTATAACCTTACCTGTAACTCGCCAGCAAGGAGAGCACGAGCACCCACCTTCCTTTACCAGACACGTGAAGCCATCGTAATCTGCGGCCTGGGATCCAATGAGAAAGCCGCATGTCGTACATTAAGGTTCCTAAGATCTACACATACTGTAGTAGATATCGGAGGTTAAATGATAGCGGGACACAACTTCATTCGATGGAGGGATAAAGCAAGACCGGATTAGTATCCAGAGATGGCATTTGCCGGTTTCGGGCTATCAGTCGCTTATTGCGTACGACGGCGACGATTATACAATACAAGCCTTTTGAGATCTGGGAAAAGATCACAGGAGGTTCAGAGCGGGAAAAGAACGTGACTTATCACGTGGTGTAATCATCCCCCCTAAATCTCGGCTGAGGTGAGTCACGTACTGTACGCTGCACTTAATCATCAAGGCGAATAGTGCAAAGATTTCCTACTTGAGCATACGGGACGAGAACTACAACTATAATCAAATACCTCTTGATGCAGGTAGGAGTCACTCTTGCAGAACTTTCCTTCCTATCAAATCTATAAGTACAAGTTTCTATAACACAGCTGAATTGGCTCAGAATTTCCAAATCAGCTTGATTGATTGATTCTCTGCCTCGCACCTCATCCATAAATCTATACCTGCGTAGTACGAGGTCCTCTTCAACAACAGCCTCCTAAACCATCAAAACAGTCCACTTCACACCCCAAACTCCACCCACACACCATGGCAGCCATCGACCTCACCGCACGCGCCACCTCCCTCGCCCAATACTTCCTCGACAGCAACTCCCCCCCATCCACATCCACATCCACATCCACATCCC